AATTCTCCAGTTTCTAATGCAACAAGAGTCCAAAAGTTTTCCAGTTTTGTAAAACAAACTATATTTAGAAAGAATGGTTTAAAAAAAACAATAGTTTTTAATTCCTAAACAGATTCATCTAAAAAAAATTTTAGCGCAGCCGAGCTTTAACTTTAACAAACTTTAGCACTTTAACACTTTAACAAGCGTTGAAGTAAGATTGAAATCTGAAAAATCGGATAAGAAATTTATAATTCAAGTTCTTTTATACGAGGATTGAGTAATATCGGTGTAGCTTAATGGTAGATCTTAATGGTAGATAGCTTAATGGTCGCCCGGTAGGTGAGAGGTCGCGGATTTGAATCCCAGCGTTGGTTCTGTTGATTCATAGCATTCATAGTTGATTCCCCGTGTTTTCTATTCCTTCTAATATCTTTTATTTTTGATAAATTCTTTTGATTCATAGTTAGCTAGTAAGCGAGAGTAAGAATGAGAAAATTTCTCTCGAAAAGCTTAATTCTAGAGCGTTCGCCCGGTAGGTGTTGATTTGAATCCCAGCATTGACCATGTTTTCTATTCCCAGCCCCAATCAATAAAAGAATTGTTCAACTATCATTAATAATCAAGGTTTAGCTGGTTGAGTCAATGTAAACTATGTTACAAATGAAAATCAAAGTGACTCATTGCTCTTGGAGGCTGAAATCTGGAAAGATTGTGATTGAAAAGTCGTTTTTCTTTAGCACAAATCCTAATATCAAAAAACTGTGGTTACTTTGAGGTTTTATTTCATAGCTATCTAGCTATCTTTCTTAACTATCTAGCTATCTTTCTTACCTATCTAGCTATCTTTCTTACCTCTCTAGCTATCTTTCTTAGCTTTCTTAGCTATCTAGCTATCTTTCTTAGCTATCTTGCTATCTTTCTTAGCTTTCTTAGCTTTCTTAGCTATAACTAGTACATCCAATTATCCAGCTTATTCATTCATTCAATCAAAACTTAGCAAGCAATTCAATTAGCAAGCATAAAAATCCAATTCTCATTGTTGTAAAGAGGTCATTTCCATTTAAAAGTTCACTTTTCCAATTCATCTTTCAATAGAAATACCCAAGAAAACCTTTCTCTATTTGGAGAGTAAAGGAAACGATGTGAAAATTTGAAAAGTTGTGGTTTTTTTCTTAGTTAAACCCATTCATTTGAGTTCAGAGTAGCAAGGAATGAACGCAAAAAAATGCTTTCTTTCGCAATTCTTTAAATGTTGACTTTTCAGAAATCTTCATTGAATGATCTATGAAAAATCAAATAGATTTTTGAATTCAATGAATTACTTGGGATGATTGAGTGGGTGGAAATCTCTGCTGACGTTTTAAGTTTACATTTTACAAAATAGTGAAGAGATTTCAAAGAAAACAAAACTTTTATCCATTTTAGAAGGTAAATATTGTGCTTTTCCAAGTGATTATATTGGGTTGGTGAATTGAAAACTGCGGGTTATTGTCATATGTGACAGTTTGAGCACTTTCTTCAAAAGAAACCCATTTTGGTGTCAATGGAAAAGTTGTAGAGAATCAAAAATCAAGCTTATATCCAAATTTTCAGAACGATTCAAAAACTGGTTTTCAAGAAATGCCAAATCTACGAATCTTCACAAAACTTGCATTTTAAGCGAAACTACTAAGTGTATCTTTTTGGAAATTTGGCTATAAGCCTAATTTTTGATTCTCTACAACTTTTCTATTGACACCAAAATGGGTTTCTTTTGAAGAAAGTGCTCAAACGCTCAAACTGGGACACCTCCAGTCCTCCATTTTTGAGTCTCACACTTGTCTCACCCACAAACCAAAATCCTACTACGAAAGAGGAATCCTCAAATTGCCTGTAAAATGGGCAGAAGTCGTCAATAATAATGGAAATTATTTCAAATGAATTCATGGTTTTATGTTCAATAAATTTTAGTTCAAAGTCCCGCAGTTTTCAATTCACCAACCCAATAGTTTGTTCCCATGAAAATCTGATAGCTAAAAAGCTAAAGCTACTGAAAAGCTACTGAAATTGATATCAATTTCAGTAATATTTTAGAATTACAGTTTTAAGATTACTAAAGTTGTTGTTAAAGGTTGTTAAAGTTAAAAAAGGGAATCTTAACGGAATGTGGTGGTCAAATGACACAAGCCACCAACTATTCGATTCGGAATTTTGTGCTGATTCCGAATCTGCTTTCCGTTTCTGCGATACAACACTCTGTCAAAAGTTCTAAGCGCTCAAAGTTTTGTAAATCAGACAGCGGACTCTGACCTTGAGGGTTTACTTTGTATTCTAGCCGACCACCCGGCCACCACTGCTCTCCAAACCCTCTGGGAAATCTGCTTTGAAACTCAAGAGCTGATACATAAAAAAACTTTGAGCTTATAACTTTTGACAGAGTGCTGTATCGCAGAAACGGAAAGCAGATTCAAAATCAGCGCTAAATTCTGAATCGAATAGTTGATGGCTTGTGTCATTTGACCACCACATTCCGTTAAGATTCCCTTGTTAATATTTTAAATCTTAAAAAGAGTATTTTTAGAAACACTTTATAGAGAAAACCAATTATCTAGGTTTTTTGCTATGTTGTTCTATTGATAATGGACTAAAAATGGTTATAGATATGATACTGTGGTTTCTTTAGAGCTAAAAGAACTCACCAAGCATTTGTATTATCAATCCATCGTCCATTCATCATTCCAATCGTTTCTTCATCCTTTTTTGGGCGATTTTTATCATAATAAGCGTTTGCTCGATTCTCAGCGTCGACTTCTTCAGCTTTATGTTGAGCTTCGAAATCCAAAGCTGTAATTGAAAGTTGTATGAAATTTAGTGTTTCAAAAGCTATTCAAGGACTTGTAAAAGTTATTTTAATTACTAAAATAGTCGAAAAGTTACTAAATAAGCTATCAAAACTTAGCAAACAATAACCAGATCAAAACTCACCAAAAGAGACACTAGTTTTCCTTAACGGAGATACTTCAACACTTGGCTTTAGTGAACTCGGTGATGTTGGTTCATTCTCTTCTTGAATAAAATGAATTTCTCGACTTCTTGAACTCCCTTGTTCATCATCTTCTGGTTCAATAATCATCGGCAAATGATTAACTTTTGTCGACCATGTTCGACTAAGATCTTTTATTTTTGATAAATTCTTTTGATTCATAGTTAGCTAGTAAGAATGAGAGTAAGAATGTGAAAATTTCTCTTGTTCTTGGTGAAATTTTTGACGACAGAGACGAAGGATTACTCTCGTTTTTCCTCAAGGAAATGAAGTGAAAGGAATTTCAACTCTGCCGTCAACCTCTCCCAATTCTATGTTTACCAATCACGTGTACCTACAGAAATTTGCTTGACAAGAGTTATGTCACTCAGGAAGTGAGAGAATTTTGTGATTTATAAGATAATGAGGTCAAAAAAAAGGCTTGAATTTGATTTTAAAGATCTTATAAAGTGGATTGTTGTCTCAAAATCTGAAATATTCACGATTCGTTTCGAAAATTGAAAACTTTAACAATAGATATCAAGAGAATGGATTTCCCGTAGTGATAGGAGACTAGATTTACAATCAAAAGGTCTCTAAAAGATCCACTAGCCATAAATTTGATTTGAAAGATCTTATTGGATTGTTGATCTTAAGATCTTAAGTGGATTGTTGTCTCAAAATCTGAAAGATTCACGATTCGTTTCCAAAATTGAAAACTTTAACAATAGCTGTTAAGAGAATGGATTTCCCGTATTGATAGGAGACTCAATTTACAATCCAAAGATCTCTAAAAGATCCAATGTCCATCACTACTTAAAGAAGAAAAATCCCAAAACAATCCCCCAAATATCCATTTTTAAACCAAGATGAGATAACAATCCACTTTATATTTCTTTTTAAAGAATAATATAACATAAAGGCTACGGTTTAAATGTTTAAATTTTAAATTTTACTTGTTCTACTTGTACTTATTCTTTATTTGATTTTATAATATTTATTAGAAAAAAATACAAAAACCTGCACCGTTTTTGGTTTAAAATATAAAGCACGAGATCAAGAATAAGGGAAAAAAAAGAAATCATTGAATGATCTTTGAAAAATCAAATAGATTTTTGAATTCAATGAATTTCTTGGGATGATTGAGTGGGTGACAGAATCTCATACGGTTCCAATACGGACCCTATTTGGATCTCATACGGTTCCAATACGGTTCCAATACGGTTCCTTTTACGTTCCAATACGGTTCCAATATGGTTCCAATATGGTTCCAATATGGTTCCAATACGGTTCCAATACGGATCCTATTTGGATCTCATACGGTTCCTTTTACGGTTCCAATACGGTTCCAATACGGTTTCAATACGGTTCCAATATGGCTCCAATATGGTTCCAATATGGTTCCAATATGGTTCCAATACGGTTCCAATACGGATCCTATTTGGATCTCATACGGTTCCGATACGGTTCCAATACGGTTCCAATACGGTTCCAATATGGTTCCAATACGGTTCCTTTTACGTTCCAATACGGTTCCAATACGGTTCCTTTTACGTTCCAATACGGTTCCAATACGGTTCCAATACGGTTCCAATACGGATCCAATACGGATCCTATTTGGATCTCATACGGTTCCAATACGGTTCCAATACGGATTGAGTGGGTGGAAATCTCTGCTGACGTTTTAAGTTTACATTTTACAAAATAGTGAAGAGATTTCAAAGAAAACAAAACTTTTATCCATTTTAGAAAGTAAACATAAAGGCTACGGTTTAAATGTTTTATTTTTAATTGTTCTACTTGTACTTATTCTTTATTTGATTTTATAATATTTATTAGAAAAAAATACAAAAACCTGCACCGTTTTTGGTTTAAAATGTAAAGCACGAGATCAAGAATAAGTGAAAAAAAAAGAAATCTCAAAATAAACAAAGAGAAAACTCGCTTAAACCCGAAAATATGACTCGCAGAGAATGTACAAAAGGAATAGAAAAGAATTGTAAATAATATAGAGTCATGGTTCAAGTGAAGCTCCAGTGGAAGTTGTTGTAGCCATTGATGTTGATGATGTCATATCGGATGGTTTAGTGTTATAGGTTCGCTTAAAGATGTCGACAAGGCAGACAGAGCTGTGGAATCTGTAAAAGTTTTGGCTTTTTGATTAAGAAACATGAGAGTTAATGGTGTTTACTGATTTGTCGATTATATCTTTGACTTTTTACTTGAATTGAGAGACTTTTGACTACTCTACTTGTACTCAACTAATAGATAACAATCAGAATGCTGTTGTGTCTTTTATTTTATAGTACTGTAAGATAAAACATGAAAACAATAGTTTTTTAATCATTTTGTCAGCTCTTATCAAAGCTGTCAAACTTTGGTTGATCTCTTCAAAAACCCTTTCCCAACCACCCCGAGCAAGTCCGTTGTGGTCTAGTGGTTAGGATTTATGGCTCTCACCCATAAGGCCCGGGTTCGATTCCCGGCAACGGAATGAAATTTTTCTTTTTGTTTTTGTTATTTGATAGTTTAGAAAACTTATAGAAAACTTATAGAAAACCTATAGAAACTTATAGAAACTTATAGAAACCTATAGAAACCTATAGAAAATCACCTATAGAAACCTGTAGAAACCTATAGAAACCTATAGAAACTTATAGAAAACCTATAGAAGCCTGTAGAAACTTATAGAAAACCTATAGAAACCTATAGAAACTTATAGAAACCTATAGAAACTTATAGAAAACCTATAGAAACTTATAGAAACTCATAGAAACCTATAGAAACCTATAGAAACCTATAGAAACTCACCTATAGAAAACTACAAGCGGTGAAACTCCATAGATTATATACGGGAAAGCAGCGGCCGATTTGTCATAGGGAAGGGTTGGCTTCATTGATTCATAAGTGGCAAAGAAAAAGAGAGTCACATTGGCGACAAGGAGGAATGTGACTGCTTGTTTGCCGGGTTTTTGACGGATTTCATCCGGGCCACGAGCCACCAATCTGAACAAAAATTGTACATATTTTATGAGCAATTTCATCTTCACCTTGCACTTATGAAAATGAAAACAGCTTGCACAAAAACGGCCATTAAACGGCTGATGTAAACGGGCAATTCATAGCCCGGCATTGGGTCTTTCGTTTGTTGAGTGGTAATCCAAAGATCAATAGCTGAAAATTCTTGTTTCTGTACTTTCATTGAACTCAAAATCCGTCAATCAACAAATTATTTTTGTCTTTTTTTTTATTGCTTATTGCCCTATCGCCCACTTGATTATTGATTAGATAAACAGAAATTTGTGGAAAGTGAAAAATTCAGTCAATTAGTTAAGCTGCAGATGGAGCAAAAGCTTTTTCTTTTCGTAAATGAGTGACGCGAATGAGTGAATAAGTGACCTTATGAGTGAGGAATGAGTAATGCTTTTACTAAGGTCAAATTCCAAATATTTTCTTTACAAATGCAATAGACTGTAATATTTTCTGTATTAGATTCAAAAGAGAGCCAGAGGATCGTAGATAATTCAAAAAACCCTAGCGAATTCCTAAGAAATCTAGAAGTTGAAGTTAGATTACTGTATACCGTATTTTCTCTAATAGTAGTGTACCTCGGCGACCCGAGTTGATGACGATTTTACGGTTTCCAAGCTTTTGCAGAAGCTCAACACTATAACCCCCCACTAGATCTCATCGTCAGCTACATTTTCCGACCCCACATCGATAGGTTCTCATAAGCGGTTCTCGAGATTTCGAGCAATTTAGGCGACGCTCAGGGTGCACTACTAAATAAGCTTTAAACCAGAATATTAAATAGAAGTTGCTTTGAATCCCAAATCCATATACCATATTCTCTCTAATAGTAGTACACCACCGAGTTGATGACTATTTTACGGCTTCCAAAGTTTTCACAGAAGCTCAACACTCTAATTATCCGCAAGATCTCATCGTCAGCTACATTTTCCGACCACACATCGATAGGTTCTGATAAGCGGTTCTCGAGATTTCGAGCAATTTAAGAAACGCTCAGGGTGAACTACTATTAGAGAAAATACGGTATATTGAAAGCTCTACAATATCTACAAAGTCAAGTTAATGTCCGCGATTGTATGATATATGTAGATCTATACTCAAATACCGTATTTTCTCTAATAGCAGTGCCCACGTCGAACCGAGTTAATGACTATTCTCCGGTTTCCAAGCTTTCCCAGAAGTTCAACACTCAAATCCCCCGCTAGATTTCATCGTCAGCTACATTTTCCGACCACACATCGATAGGTTCTGATAAGCGGTTCTCGAGGAATTTAGGAAACGCTCAGGGTGCACTACTATTAGAGAGAACATGGTATATTGAAAGCTCTACAATATCTACAAAGTTAAGTTAATGTCCGCGATTGTATGAGATGTAGATCTATACTCAAATACCGTATTTTCTCTAATAGTAGTGCACCCCGGCGAGCCGAGTTGATGACTATTTTACGGTTTCCAAGCTTTTGCAGAAGCTCAACACTCAAATTCCCCAGAAGAGCTCATCGTCAGCTACATTTTCCGACCCACATCGATAGATTCTCATAAGCGGTTCTCGAGATTTCGAGGAATTTAGGTGACGCTCTGGGTTCACTACTATTAGAGAAAATATGGTAACCAAACTAAGTAAAGTTATCAATAATTCAAATCGATTATCAAGTGATCAATTTCAAATTGAAAACTCACCAATGCAACAGTACACAATCTCTCCAAAAAGCCCGATGACGAGAAGAATCTCGTCAAGAATTTCCCCACTGTGATGACTGTGATCCTTGCGGTATTGTAACACTCTCATCCTGGAATTGGGAAAGATTTTAAGTGATTTTTGAAATCACAAACACAAAACCACAGTCACTGAGTCACACTACAATTTTAACCTCAACTATGTCAAACTGCAAGATGAAAACGCATTTCAAACTCATCAAACAGAACTAAATTTCTTATCTTCAGCAATAGAATAGAATCTAAGCGAAGATTTAGATTCTTAATAGAAGATAGATAGAATTTAGATTCTTAATTCTTTTTTTTTTGTTAAACGTAAACTTTTTCTAATAGTTTTCAAATACTTTAGTAAAAGCTAGTAATTCAATCACTTTATAAAAGTGATTAGATTACTAGTTGGATTGGATTAATAGCTGGATTGGATTAATAGCTGGATTAGATTACTAGCTGGATTGAATCACTAGCTGGATTGAATCACTAGCTGGATTGAATCACTAGCTGGATTGAATCACTAGCTGGATTGGATCACTAGCTGGATTGGATTAATAGCTGGATTGGACTACTAGCTGGATTGGACTACTAGCTGGATTAGATTACTAGCTGGATTACACAATTACCGTATTATAGATTCAGTTTCACATTTAAGCTATTCATAAAGAAGTAAAGTCTATTTTTTTCCTTTCAGAAACTTTGAACAAGTGAAACAAAGCCTTTTGCTACTGCTTTAGTAGCCTAAGTAAACAAAGCCTATTACTACTATTGCTACTGCTACCTAGTACTTTCTGTAAGTTCATGTTGATGTTTCTGTAAGTTCTGTAAGTTGATGGAACTTGTAAGTCGACAGTGATCATTGTTTCCAAAATTTCAAGCTAATGTTCTAAAGAAACTAAACTCTCAATCCTAAAAGAAAACTGGTTTATTTACTCATTGATGGTGACTGCTTGATGATTTTTGTTTCCACTGTTTCATTGGAGTGAACAAGTCAAAGAAAAGCCTTCAAAATCACTCTTTTCATGCTTATTTCATCATCAAACAATTCTCAAATTCTTTAGAATTTTCTTTTTTTTACCTTTTTCAAACCAAACCATCAAAAATCGCTTAGAAGTTGTTGATTTTTACAAAAAAAACCCACACAACACAAATCCAATTCACTCAGAACTCTGATTCAATGATCACTACAAAAAATGTTACCTTGAAAAGTTTGCTGAATTGGTTTTAAGTTAATGGGAAAATGGGAAAATGAGAAAAATGATAAAGACAATGATATTGAAGTAATAAAGATAATTATATTTCTTTCTACATTTCTTTCTACTCTAAATTAGAACTAGATTTTCAATAGTTATTCTTTTTTTGTCTTTTTCTTTCTTTTTTTCTTTCTTTTTTCTTTTTTTCTTTCTTTCTTTTTTCTTTTTTAATAACTTACTTCCAAATGCCGAAGATGCACACGAGAAACACCCAAACAAACATCACCAAATCGATAATACCGAAACAGAGAACTGAATTGCTCAAGTCGTGCATCTAAACAAAACTTTCAAAGAAATTTGAGAGACTTTTTGCTTAAATCTTTGACTTTTTACTTGAATTGAGATACTTTTGACTACTCGACTTGTACTTAACTAATAGATATCAATCAGGAATTAGGTTAAAACAAGAAATTGAGAGACTTTTAGCTTCAATCTTCGACTTTTAACCGTTCTACTTGTACTTAGCTGTTAGCCATATGATATCAATCAGGAATTAGATTAAAACAAGAAATTGAGAGACTTTTAGCTCAAATCTTTGACTTTTAACTGTTCTACTTGTACTTAACGATTAGACATATGATATCAATCAGAAATTAGATTAAAACAAGTAATTGAGAGACTTTTAGCTTCAATCTTCGACTTTTAACTGTTCTACTTGTACTTAACGATTCGACATATGATATCAATCAGAAATTAGTCAAAAGATCTAATTCAAAACGAATCAATGAATCAATTAAGTCAAGATTAAAGAATTTGATTGAAATCAAACTTAACCAAGACTTACACTGTCAAACACCGAGTAAACTCCAATCGAAACAAATGCAAGAATCATAAAAATGATTCCACCAAAGAGGCCGGTAGATGAACGGCTGAATTTTGGTATTTAAAGTTCATTGCTTTCCATTTACCTGCAATCAATCCTCATTCGACTTCTTCTCTTCACTCTTTGAGGTGTTGAATGATGTAGATGAGTTGAATCAATTGACATCCACATAATAAACATCACTGCTGCACCAATGAGTGAGTATTCAACTGAAACCTTTATTTATAAAAAGCTAATAAACGCTAAAAAAAGATATTCTATCAGTTGAATAACTTAATCGAAAAGAGATAATTTTCAGTCTATTGCATCTGTAAAGAAAATATTTGGAATTAGACCTTGCATCACTCATTCCTCACTCATTTACGAAAAGAAAAAGCCTTTATTCCATCTGCAGCTTAACTAATTGACTTAGTTTTTCAATTTCCACAAATTTCTGTTTATCAATTCTTTCGGTTTACTGGTGGCTGAAATCTCAGCCGTACAAAGAAACAGACAGACATTTATCTTTTATATAGTAGATTTAAATGGATCAAATCAAATGATCATGCAAAACTCACCAATACAAGTAACAAAAAACGTTGTGAGATCTCCAAAGTACTCCTCAGCATGCAGTGTTTTTCCGGGCTTCAATGTTTCGTTTAATGGATTCATCGTCGCTTCAATATCATAAAATGATGAAATCACACTCGTTAATCCTTCTGTTATTTGCTAAAATTGATTTTCCTTAAAAGTAGTAAAGTAAAGTAATTACTCTTTCCATTTCTTCAGATGACGAGCTAACTGGGATCATTTTCGCTTGCTTTTTCTTGTGCTTGCTTGCCTGAAAATTAAGAATATCCTTCTGTTATTTGCTAAAATAAATTCATAAATAGATTTCCTTCAAAAAATTTTCGCTGCTTTTTCTTTTGTTGGCTTGTCTGAATATTTAAGAAAGTAAATTAAGAAAGGGAAATAAAAGTTTGCCAGAGAAAAGATTACAGAAAGGAGATTAAGCCGTTGACTTGCTTTCCAGGGAGATACTCTAAGCACTAAACTATTTTATATCTTCTTACCAAAGAAAGAAGGAAATACAATGGGGAAAAAAGGAAGGAAGAGAAAGAAATATCTAGTTTGATAATACAATAATGCTGCTTTACATTCTACTTCTTCACTAGCTTTGAGGTTAGTTAAAACAAAACAAAACTGGATGCCAGAGAGAGTTTATTATTCCAATGCTGTGCTTACTTTGTGCTTTAGTTTAAACACAATTTCTAGTCAACTTAATTCTCTACTTTCTTCAAGCAAAAGAAAACGAGAAAGAGTTCTTTTCTTGAGCTTAAAATACATGAAAACTAGGGTTTTTTTTAAAAACAAACCGCTTTTACAATCACAAATCTCAACCAGGTGAAGATGTTGACAGAAATATTATGCATCATACCAAATTTGCATAATGATTTCGAGGTCTTGATAGCCATCTGTAAACTAATATTTCTTAAAAAACTATTTACAAACTACCTTTGAATTACAGAAAATGAAATGCATTTGCACAAAAGCAAAGATGATGATAAGACTGTATTGAAGGATTGACAAGTAGCAATTGTGATCGCGAATTAGAAGGAAAACCTCGATCCCAAGAAGAACAATTCCCACCATACCAAAGACTAAATTGGATTTGCTTTTAGTAAACATTTACTTTCATCTATTAAAACTGAATAAATAGTTAGATTATTTGAAAGCAGATCACTGAATAGATTATCTTATTAATAGAATTTTATTGAATAGATTATCTTATTAATAGATTATCTTATTGAATAGATTATCTTATTAAATAGATTATCTTATTAATAGATTATCTTATTGAATAGATTATCTTATTAATAGATTATCTTATTGAATAGATTATCTTATTAAATAGATTATCTTATTAAATAGATTATCTTATTAATAGATTATCTTATTGAATAGATTATCTTATTAATAGATTATCTTATTGAATAGATTATCTTATTAATAGATTATCTTATTAATAGATTATCTTATTAAATAGATTCTCTTATTAAATAGATTATCTTATTAAATAGATTATCTTATTAAATAGATTATCTTATTAAATAGATTATCTTATTAATAGATTATCTTATTAAATAGATTATCTTATTAATAGATTATCTTATTAATAGATTATCTTATTAAATAGATTATCTTATTAAATAGATTATCTTATTAATAGATTATCTTATTGAATAGATTATCTTATTGAATAGATTATCTTCTACTATATTGAAGGATTGAGAAGTAACAATTGTGATCGCAAATTAAAGGGAAAACTTCAATGCCAAGAAAAACAATTCCTACCGTACCAAAGACTGAATTGGATTTGCTTTTAGTAAACATTCACTTTCATCTATTAAAACTGAATAAATAGTTAGATTATTTGATGCCAAAAACACCACTTATATTGTTAGAAAAAATTTTATTGAAATAAATCATTACCGTAAATACTGTAATAGTACCCTACCGTCATAATGACGGTGCGGAGTGTTTCGTAGTCTAGCTTTGAACGAGTTTTTCTCGACAGTGGTTTATGCTACAATGCGCATTTAGGTATCAAAAAATAGCTGAAATTCAGAGCTATTTTTTGATACCAAAGATAATGACGTTGCGGAGTGTTGCGTTTTGCGACTGTACGAGGATTTAAATTTTATCTTTTAATTTAACTTTTAATTTAACTTTAACTTAGCTTTAGACCAATGTAGCTCGAGTAGACTTGACTAAGAATTATTGTTTTGATATTTTTAATAACAGAAATATGAAAAAAGAAACCGATCCTTAGGAAAAATGCCGTCAAGAGATTCTATCAGCTGTTGGTAATGAGAGGCTGCCTTCACTTGCTGACAAGAACACTCTCCCCTATACAAATGCCACTGTTCTCGAGATTCAGGTACTATAAAAAACTCTGTTCAATTACACGATGACTTAAAAAGAATCTTTTATCTATATCTATCTGTTACCGTAAATATTGTAATAGTACCCCACTCGCATAATGACGGTGCGGAGTGTTGTGTAGTCTAGCTTTGAACGTGTTTTTCTCGACACTGGTTTATGCTACAATGGACGCTTAGTTATCAAAAAATAGCTGGAATTCAGGGCTATTTTTTCATACCAAAGACGCTTTTTTTTGAAAGTACGGGCGCTTTGAAAAAAAATGAAATACTAAAAAACTTTTGCGACTACGCGACTGTACGAGGGCGGTGGGGTACTAATACAGTATTTACGGTAGTTAGAATGTATTTACTAAATACTCTGTGAGCTATTGAATTGATTTACTTTGTGAATCTCCTTGAATACTCTCAAAAACTCGACTTTTTTAACAAAATTCATTGCATTAAAACTTTATTAAAACAATTTTTCAATATTTACTGTTACAGTATTTACGGCACGATAACAATAGGGTTTTTACTTATAAAACTTAACTTGAACTTAGAATTTAAAGCTTTTTTAAAGTTAACGCTTTTTTAAAGTTTTAAAGTTAACGCTTTAACGCTTTAAAATAAAATTACCCATTGCTCCAAGCCTTAAATAGAGACTCCCGGCTCCTTCAGCTGTATGTGAAGTCTTTTCAAGTGACCAACTCTAGAAAATTGAGTTTAAAATATCGATCTAAAGGTATCTAAAGCTTACCGCATCTTCATTTGTCCATCCAATCTTGTAAAAAAGCTTTTGAGCATAACGAAACCATCCAGGATTTAACATAAATACATAACAATAAACAAAAAACATTGTACCAATGCCGTACATCCAAATATGAAAAATCTATAGAAATTTATTTAAAAGATTCATCATTTTTTTAAATACCGTTTCACCAAGATAAAGACGTTTTTTGAAAGTTGGAGAAATCTCGATCACAACTGCTACAACAATAATCATTAAAGCGTAAAGGAGACTCATTAAAGAGCAGAAGAAGCTTCTAAAAATTGAAAAATTCAAATTCTACTCATTAAATTGAATTGAAAACTAGAAAACGATGATTATATCCTATTGAAAAAGGTTTTTGAGACTTTATGGAATAAGACTTTATGGAATAAGACTATGGAATAAGACTTTATGGAATAAGACTATGGAATAAGACTTTATGGAATAAGACTTTATTGAATAAGACTTTATTGAATAAGACTTTATGGAATAAGATTTTATAGAATAAGATTTTATAGAATAAGACTATGGAATAAGACTTTATGGAATAAGATTTTATAGAATAATACTATGGAATAATACTATGGAATAATACTATGGAATAAGACTTTATGCTTACTTCAATCTCCAATCCTGATCTTAAACTTTCTTGAGTTAATTTTCCTTTAGATTCTTAATCCAATCAAAGAAATGACTATGAAAGTAATACAATAGCTTATTAAATTGAATTGAAAACTACAAAACGATGATTATATCCTATAGAAAAAGGTTTTTGGGACTTTATGGAATAAGACTTTATGCTTACTCCAATCTCCAATCCTGATCTTAAAGTTTCTTGGGTTAATTTTCTTTTAGATTCTTAATCTACTCAAAGAAATGACTATGAAAGTAATAAAATAGCTTTAAAAGCTCTAAGCAAAGCTTAGAATCTCAATCTTAATTTAGCTCTGAGTAAGATTGAAAAGCTCTGAGCAAGATTTTATACATCAATAAAGGCTATAAGTAGATCTATTTCACTAACTATTACAGCAATCTTAGAGTAATTTTCTTGCTTTATTGTCGATTTTGTTAGCTATTTCTATTATTATTAAATAAATAGATTACCTTGCATTTGGATTATCAACCCATTGAGCAATTGATCTTGATCTTGATCAACTGCTCAATCCTTAATCTAATCAAAAACTCTTGTTGTTCAGTTTTTTAGTGGATTTTGTTCGACAAGTTTTTAAACTCAATAAGACTCGATAAATGAATAGCTTCAATCGATTCCCCGTCTATGAAAACCCCTTTATGAATCAATAAAGGCAAAGTAGATCAATTTAACTAACTATTAGAGCAATATTAGAGCAATTTTCTTGCTTTATTATCGAATTGGTTAGCTATTTCTATTATTATCAAATAAATAGATTACCTTGCATTTGGATTATCAACCCATCGTCCATTTTTCGGTTTTTCCATATGATCAAGTGAAATCGTTTTATAATAATCATTGCCAATCGGTGGGGGGACCGAAATCGGAACTAAATTATCGAAATCTTTTATAAACGATAATTAGGCTGTAAGATTATCTGTATATTATAATATTATAACAAAAAAAAAGATCAAACAGAAAGACCAATCGAATTCATGAAAGTGTTAGAAGAAATGTTTTAGTAACAAGTTTTGTGCTACTTCTTTCAAAAACAACATGTTTTTTAGGGTTTAGAAGAAAGAATAAAGTTGTATTCGGTTGTATTACAGTTGTATTACAGTTGTATTACAATAGTACTAGCTAGTTTATCAAAAATATCTTCATCTTCATCTTTGATCTAATCAAAAATCTTGTTATTAAGCTTTTTAGTGGATTTTAACTATTCGAAAAGTTGTTAAAGACAAAAAGACTCGATAAATGAATAGCTTCAATCGATTCCCCGTCTCTGAAAACCCCCGGGTACAAATTTACAACTTAATAGCTTCTTTTTGAGAGAAATCTAAAGCAAAAGAAAAATCGCTGACTGAGTTCTCTGTGCGGACGCGTAATCGCTCGCAAGCTGGCACAGGTGCCTGATAGATAGGTGTTCCTTTTGGAAACCGTTAACGACTCAGCCCTCTCGATTTCTTAGCCTCACCTTAGAGAAATCTATGATCGATTGTTCCCCCAAATTTGACTCTATTTTTGCTAGAAATTCCGCATCCCGCCAAGCCATTATCTTACTTAAACAGCAGTCAAACCAAGAGAACAATGGCTTGTTAGTCTCTTTTCTTAAGATTACTCCAATCAACCTTTATTAGATAAACTGCATTAAAACCATCAGAATTTATAAATTCTCTTTTTCAAAACTTGAAACCCACCAGATATCGAAACCCTCCTCGCTTTTTTTTCTTCTTCAACACTTGGTGATCCAGTTAGAGTCGATCCAGACGGTTCACTTTCCATTATTATAACGCTAGCTGCAAATTTGACCATTTCAAACGAATTTTTTGAGTTGAATGCTTCAAAAAAAAGCGTTTTCAATAAGCTAAATACTTATTTATTTTGTCTAAGGTCAAGCGCTTATCAAGAGATCAAGATTAATAAATAAGCTTATCAAGAGATTAATAAATAAATAATCTCCATTCAGGTCAAATAGTTTTTGATGATTAAATGAAGAAAAATATTCTGATTGAAATCGAAAGTTTTGTCATCAATTAATTAACGGGAAAAAAAAAGAAAAGGAATTTACAAAGATTTTAACTAAGCGTGAAGAGAAGTTCGATTTATCGAAAAATTAGATGAACAAAATGTGCCAGATTGGATATGTTTATACAGCACAATGTACGAAGCATATTCCGGTTAAATTACCCCATTTGAATGTGCCAGAAGGTGTGAGTTCATGATGATAGAGGCTAAAGTAGAGAAGAAAAAGTGAACCTTCTAGCATCATTAAACCTCAATCTCTTTTTCACAACAATATACTAGATTTAAAATATTTAGCTGTCAAGATGGACTATAATGGCATGGCAAATGGGCAT